TACTTAGCTAATTATGTCAAATAAATGCTCAAATGTGAGGCACCTACAGTTTCAAAACGTAGAAACAAATGAAAGGGACACAATTTTAACATTTTTTTTTTCTTTTGAAGCCAAAATCATTATTTTAAATGCCCAAATCTTTATTTTCATACAGTTCGGGAAAAAAAAAAGCCTTGAGATCAGTATAAATTTTCTGGCCAGRGTGGAATTTGATGCACTACACATAAGTGACACCTCAGCACAGATTATCTCTATGTCCGAATTTGGTAAGGAATAGGAAGGCTCCAGCAGCATCAAGGAGACCTCAGTGAGTAACTATCAGTGACTAAGCTTGCAAGTACCTACTAATACCAAAGCTCATTCTCCAGCTATTTGTTCATTAACCACCCTCCCCAACCGCAAGAAAAATTAGGAATCACTGATTGTTGCAACAAATTATTTCTACACTGAAGCTTCTCTAAAATTTTTGTCTCCATCTAGCTTCAAGCCAGCATTCTGCAGATCTATACACAACTGATTTGAGAACCTCCGCCTGGTTTTTTATCATGAACTTGTCAGAAATTACCATCACGGTAAGCACCAGCACCTATGTCTGAAAATGCAGCACAGAATTCAAAATCCTGCTGGATATGGAGACTAAACTTCCTTTGCCTCATTGGAAATGGATTGGTTTGGATCATGCTTCTTCAGTTGAAGAACCAAGCTTGATTTTAATCAGTTATATAGCTGAGTATCACACAGTCATTGTGATTTTTTTTTAACCCCCCAAAAAAGGAAATCAATGAAAGGGTAAAATAATCATTGATATAAAAGGGACTCCTGGTATCTCCCATAAATTTTCAATTATAACACATTTTTTAAAGTATTCATAYACAGTTTGTGACTTGGGTCAGAAGACTGAGATTCAATACAAGCTTTCCGGCAATTCAACTCTTTTGGATTGCAAATTGGGGGCAACAGCAGTTCAGATCCTATGAGCAGTGGTTGAGCAATCATTATTAGTCATAAATTCAAAGTAAGCTCAGGAACTTACGTAATTTTTCTGGTAAGACTGTCACTGAGTTACAAGCTTGTCAATAACATTGAATAAGTCAGAATACTTTCTACAGTCTCAAAAGTGTTATTTTTCTCCAGGAAAGGCGTTTCAGTCTTCAGACAAAGACTAAAACCACAAGCCCATGGAGGCTGATGGCAGAACTCCAGATGGGTCCAGAATTTCGGCCTGCCYACAAAAAAGTGAAACTGCTTCAGATTTAACTGTGGATTTGCAAATCTCATCCTGATATTTTTTATTAAGGTTACTAAAGGTTTAAGAATCCTCACTATTGTATGGCATGTAGATCATAATCTGTTTTCTGAACATCAGCATGCAATACATTCAGTGACTGTAAAACAGTATTCCAAAGATTTTCCACAAAGATGGTCTCCAAGTCCACTATGTCATATAATGGACATCAGATTTTTGGACCAGCAAGACCTAACCTTAAAGACATTTACTATGTTGGTAGCTTTTGGCAGATTGGTTATGGCAGAATCATTTTGAGTAAGATAATGTTTTCAGCATGTATATCTTCCACATCCAAAATATCACAGATAGTTAAAAAACATAATGCATGCAGGGAATGCAGCAACATAAATCATGGAAGCAACCAGCAGYTTATTCAGTGAATGTGACCCATGAAACTTTCCTTTCCATAGCAATGCAGAGCTAGTGCTTCTTAAAATATCCAGACACAGCACGTTTGCTATGACGCCTTTCCTCAGACATTAGCAACCCCATGTCTTTTAAGATAAAATGGACCAACTCAGAAGGCTTAGCTAGGACAGGAGGAACCTAGGAAAATAACACTGAATTGCTGACTGGGAAATAACATACCAGAGAATAACTCTAAAATGAATCCACGTATAAAATTCTTGAGGATACATTCTGTCTGAATCTGCTAACAATCACTTCCTGCTGCCATTAATCCATTAGTAAGGATGTAGAGATGTATGTTCTTACAAATATTCCATAATATAACACTATCTAGCTGAATGTTATCACACAAGGGCTATCTTAAGAGGTTAAAGAGACTGGTACCAGGCTGCATTCTACAGTTTCAATTACTAGTATATAGCCATACCCACTTAGGAGAACTTAAAACAGCACAAATGCATTTAAATACTTTCATTATCAATTTGCCTCCTACCATATGAGAAAAATAAAGCCTCTCTTAGGTCTTCACAATAATTCTGCTAAYGTATTTAACAGTAAGTGAATATGAACATTTAAATCCAAAAACAAGGATATAGCTAGATAATGTACACAAATATACACAAAGCATGCAAACACTGTTTGCTTCAATTAACACTGGCTATAGGCTACTGCAGTTCCCCTCAATTCAGCTGCATCAGGGCAACTCAACAGTCCCCCTGCCTGCAGAAGACTGAAGCCTAGGTTTAGTCATAAGCTCTTTCCTAACAAGCCAAGTTCACGGCACTGCTCTTGATCCCAGGAGAGATTCAGTGAACAGGGAGCTCAGCAGTGTATTCCTGGTAAGCCACTCACTGGATTATCCAACCAAATGGAAGTGATCTACTAGTAGAGACACTGATCTGCCCACAACAGAATGATCCTGTCACAAAGCTGAGGCCTGGCTGCCTGTGAGCGCAGCGCCTCGCTAAGCCCTGCACAGAGCCCTGCACAGAGCCCTTCCCTACGCTGCTCGAGAATTCGAGAGCTCCTGCAACCAAAGGCAACTTTCATTTCTTCTCAGTAACAGCTACCTCTTTTTCACAACTTCTCATGTTAAAGTTTTTCTTGCGTTACACTCATACCGCATTTCCACCACATTCTTTTTACATGGTCGTTATTTTGTTCCATACCTGCCTCCAGCAGGATGAAATTAATCAGTTGCACATAAGTGACATGGCAGAGACTTGTGACCTGGCCCAGCATCCAATTGTTCCTAATTGATTAGCTCCAGACATAAGCACTTCAATAGCCAAAAACAACACAAGTGGAAGCTATGGTACAACATTAGRGTAGGAAGACTGTGTGTGGTCCATACAGCATGGCCCCAAGCAACCAATTAAAGAATTAATGGTTATTGGATACCAAAAATGTTATGTTAAATACTATAAAATATCTTTAATGTGACTAGAACTGTGATAAAACACCTAAAATTTAGGAGTAGAAGGGCCTCCTACAAGAGTGGGGTTAAGTGCTAATGACTTAAATACGCCAACTACATTAGCTTTTATTTAAAAGGACAATCAAGACCAAAAAAATGACCTAGATTGAAATACTCATGAAGCTACCTATAATAGCCTATTGATTACTACAATGTGTTTGGGTTGTTTTTATTACAAAAAGACAAGTGAAGCTATGCCAAACCATTTGTGGAGAAGACGAAACTATGCCATTACTTGTTCCAGTTCTAAAATGAAAGAAATATGAAAGAAAAATTACAGGAGAAAAAYGTTATAAAAGAGAAAAAGTTGGTCTCTTCATAACCAAAAGGCCCAAACACAAAATTGACACTTCCCTTCCCTGCACTTCTGCTCTCATCTTACTCARAACTATGAAGTGAACTTCACATATCATTTTCTGAGCATTTTATAGTTTATTACCAAATCACTCCAGCACCTACATGCAAAAAAAATACAAGGACAAGTCCAGCAAACCTGTAATGTTTTGTTCCTACAAAAGTAAGCAGCAATGACAAAAAGCAAAGGGAGAGCCCCTGCTCTCCTGCCAGCAGGGTCGTGCACTGAAGCACTTGCCACAGAGTTAACAAGAGCTAAATTCTGATTTACATGGCAAGCCCGTTACTCACAGAAAGTCACAGTGATACCAGGTAACCAGAGTATTTTCAAGACCAGCTAGTAAAGACCAAGATAGCAATACAGATAAGCATCTGTTCAGATAATAATACAGATACAGGAAGCATTGATCAACAGTTATCCCCCCCAACAACAACAACTCACAGCACGCACTGCACACAACAGGGCTACTGAGTGTACCTTTCCTCTTTTTTTAACCTACAAAAGAGCAYCCCAAATGGATCACAGCTTACTGAGCAGTCCAGTACTGTCTCCCTGTTTCTACATATTACTTTTGAATTTACTTCTGCCTTTGCATTACACTTAAAAACACTTGAGGAAGTATGTTTACTTTATACCCAACACAACAGGCTCCTCTCTGAAGTCACAACTGCTCAGCATGACCAGGATTTTACTTATTTGTCAAAAACTGCTATACTAAGGCCTTCAGAAATCAATACTACTAGTATGCATTTAACGAAGAGTTCCTGAGCTAACCTACCTGCCCTTTTCTCAAGTCTTCTTGATTTGGGCATATTTAGCACTGCAGAATCTTCAAAATGTCCTGTACCATGGGCACCATCAGTACAGAGGAGGACACACTATAACAACTCTCTGCTGCATGTCAGCACACCCGATTTCTTGAAATACTCACTTCTTGGAACGGATTAGGCTCTTGTACCAGCAATAGATCAGAGCTCCATGAATCCCGAATACACTGAACACTCTGAACTCAGTGAGTATCTTTCTGGGGGRTTGCAAGATGGTTTTTGCTTCAGAAGCTTTAGATTTTTCTACCCAGACATTTCCACAATTCCTGTCACTTACAGTACCTTAACATTTACCAAGTGCTAAACCTCACTGGGTAATGAGCAACCATGCTGCCTTGGAAAACCTCAGGTATTACAGACATCTGGCAAGATTTCTTTGGTCCCCACATAGTAGTCAGGTACAAGGTTACTAGGAAAGGAGAAAATATCAGTTTCCTGTGTGGATGAGTCTGAAGCTAGTTTCAGTGACAGGGAACACAAGTTTTTCCTCTCACTGTAGCCCTTCATTCCCAAAGCTTGAGCAATTTTCTATAAAAACAAGCAAACAACCAAAAAAAMCAAACACTGACAGTAAAAAACAGTAATAAGCATGCAGCAAGATCATCTGAGAGACAGAGCCACAGCAGCAGCAAGTTCAGCCCTTACCTGTAGATGAGCGCTGACAGCAATGACAAGCCAGGTGACCTCCCAGGAGAGTCCTGTGGCTTTAGGGCTGGCCATCCTCACACCTCGGGCCTCTGCTGAGAGAGATTGGTTCACGTTACAAACCAAACGGAGCAGAATGTCGGTGACTGAAGCGAACTGGGCAGAGGGATGGAGCCGGCCTCTGGAAGGAGCGCAAGGCAAACACTGGAGCTGCGCACGGGCCAGGAGGCGGCCGCGTGCCCTGAGCGCAGCCCACAGCGAGGGGGGCTGGCAGCAGGTCAGATTCTCTCCTGAACACCAGCCCACTTAGCAAATCCCCCCYGAGCCTGGAAAGCACAGCCCAAGGAGCAGGGGGTTCTTGTAGGTCATTTCAGCACCCCCATCCACTTGGCGCTGAGAGTTCAGCCCCAGGACTTCAGTCATTCGCGCTGCTTTGGGAAGTCCAGCGTCCAGCCAGCTCAGAGACACAGTGAACACGGAAAGAAAGTAACAGCAACAAAAACAACAAGACAACAAAAAAAATCTCATCAGTTTAGCAGTCCCCAGCAGTTAAAGGGCCCACTAACCCCATCAATATATATGTACAACCACCACCAACAGAACAGTGCTGCTCGCTTCACTTTTCCTTGGTACCTTTCCGCCCCAGACCACTCGTTGCCACRGTGATCCCCGCACATCTTGCTCGCCTCCCTCCCACTCCCCTTGCCCTGCCGCAGGAAAACCCTCCTTTCTAAAGGATGAGCTGTCCCATCCCACAGGAAAAGCGGCTACTCCAACAACCTGTCAAGTAAGTTAAGGAAGACTCCTTGAGTAGGGAACGAAAAAATACAGATTCAGCGTCCAGCGCCTCGGATGTTTCGGCCGTTGCGTGCTAGGGAGCAGGTGGGCAGCGGAGGAGGGCTCGCGGGGCCGGCGCTGCCGCGGGCGCACCTGACCCGGCCCCGCCGCGCGGGGCTGCCGCGCTCCGGAACGAGCTCCGGCTCCCGCTCCCACTGCCGCTCTCCGGGACGAGCCCCCGCTCCGGCTCCCGCTCTCCGGGACGAGCCCCCGGTCCCGCTCGCAGCCCCGCGGCGCGAGGCAGCCCGGGCGCCGCGCAGGGACCGC